CAAAAAATTCAACAAAACCTGACTTGAACAGAAATGAGGATACCTGCAGTCCTTATTTATCCCACGTTGTGTAAATATTAATGCTTCACTGTGGTGATCATGCTTGGATGACAGGGTGCTGGCCCTGAACCTCTCCGGGTGTGTGACTTTACACCCAAAACTCATTCAGCATGCTCACTGAATTGTCTTTCTAAAACACACAAAAAAATCTGAATTTTGAAACTTCTGGGGCTCAGAAAACAATACCCCAAAATGAAGGCTTCAGAAGTGTTGAAGCAAGCTGAAGATGACCTGAGAAGGACTCCGTGCATCTGTATTTGAGTCCTTGCAAATGAACTGTAAGCTAGTTAAAAGTCAAAATTGAAAACCTAACTTAATAGTATGTATCTCTAGGCTGGGCGCAGCGGCTCATGCCTGTAATCCTAGCACCTTGGGAGGCTGAGGCGGGTGGATCATGTAAGGTCAGGAGTTCGACACCAGCCTGGCCAACACGGCAAAACCCCATCTCTACTAAAAATACATAAATTAGCCAGGCGTGGCGGTGCACACCTGTAATCCCAGCTACTACTCTGGAGGCTGAAGAAGGAGAATCCCTTGGACCAGGGAGGTGGGCGTTGAAGTGAAAAGAGATCATGCCACTGCACTCCAGCCTTCAAGATGGGAATAAGGACTCCATCTCAAAAAAAAAAAAAATAGTGTGCACCTCTAAAAATGGCCGAGTGTTGGCCAATCCCTGCTGCCATACCTACGGACATTCAGAGACTGCTGAATGTTCAAACTGCGTTCAAATAAGGCAAACGCCGAGCTGTAGCTGATCTCACTGTTTCTGTGCCTCCCTGCCAATTCCCATATGTCACTTTAACTTTTTTGTCTGTAAGTTTGTTCTGACCATGAGTCACCCTGGAGTCTCCGAATCTGCTGTGATTCTGGGGGCTGCTCAATTCGTGAATCATTCTGGTTCAATTAAACTCCTTTAAGTTTAACTTGGCTGAAGTTTTTGTTTTGTCAGAAGTAAAAGTTTTCTCTGACCTCCTCCTGCCCTCCGGTCTCTCAGTCCCATTCTCCTCCGAGGCTACCATAGAAACTAGAATCCCTCTTTCCCAAGGTGGATCATAGAAACCAAAACGCTTTTCTCCAAAGCCAGCCACAAAACCTAAAGTGTTATTCTAGTTTTCTCTCTGCCTTTCTATGTGAAAACTGGCCATGAAGAAACTGTCTGACCTGCCTTGTTTGAGGGTAAGTCCTACAACCCCCATTCCAGAGAGGGGCCTGACCCACACCCAGAAGGAAGGAGTGCTGCTCAGAGAGGCCAGGAAGACTCTGGACAGACAGGCCCTGCTAGGTTTCCCACTCAGTCTATCAGCGCCTAGTCACACAGTTTTTCTCCAGTCCCATTTCTATGCAGTTGTCCACGCTTGGTTGAACCTAAGCATTAACATGGAGAATTTCTCCTGTATCTCTGAGTTTTCATTCTGAAGGCTCCCATGTACACAGGCTAAACAAATGTGTATGCCTTTTCTCCTATTACTCTGCCATTTGTGAGCTGTTTTTTCAGTGAAACTCAAGAGGCCCAAGGGGAAAGCTCTCCCTTGGCCTCTACAAAACCATCTGTGGCACGAAGGGCTTCATGAAGGGACTGTGGACCTTTGTGGAGCCAGCGTCCGGGCTGGGCTTGGTCCCTGCACACTGGGAGCCACCTCTCTGCTGGATGGGTGTGACCTGTGACCCTGGCCCTCACTCACCATTCTTTGCCATTGTACCACCTCCTGTACGCCCCTGGGTCCCTTAGGGCTCTCCTCTCTGTCACCATAGCCAGCTCTGTGTGGCCCAATCACCCTCAAACAGATGCACCTGGAAGGTCAGCCCTGGAGCCCATGCCCGGAGGCCTTCTCTGCCTGGGCAGCTCTGTTGGTGCAGCCGCATGGCCTCAGCACATGCAGCTGGACACACGGACTCCAGCATCCCATAGGAAGGAGCTGTGACCAACAGGCCATGGGCATCAGCCAGTCAACATTCCTTCCTGCTCCCACTCAACCCCACAGGCAGCTCTGAGGTGCATTTGGTACCTCCACTCAACAGCCCTGCAGGGTGGAGCAGTGGAGGGCTGGTGGCCAGTCGCAAGGCGAGCACGCGGGGGCAGCGGTGCCTGTGCTGCCCTCCTCACTGCCCATCCCCCATCCCCCATCCGTCACTCCTCGTCCCTGGGATAAAGAACCCACACATTAGCCTTTCCCTCAGGCTGTGCTCTCTGGAGAACCCAGGCTGGATCAGCCACGTAGGAAATTCTCACCTACATGGAGAGAATTTCCTTCACGTATTTAAGCTGGTATCTGTGAGCACCAACAAGAAGCTTGTTTGTGCATCTCGTAAACCTACACCTTACTTTTACTAACGAGCCAGGCATTAGCACGAGGCACTGGGGAGAGAAATGCAGACACACGGACCGTGCCACTGAGTCTACCCAGGAAGCAGGAGGTCAGGGGACAGAGGAGGAAAGAAACCATGAGAATACATTTAAGGTTTGTACAAGGTGCTGTGGAACTCCAGGGGAATTCTCCCTATAACATGTGCCAGCAAGGGTGTGAGGCAGCTGGAACCCCCATGCATGCTGTGGGAATGCAAAGGGGATGGCCTCACTAGAAAACAGGGCAGCAGTTTTTTAAAATCGAAATCTACACCCACCGTATGACACAGCAGTGCTACTCAAGGGAAGGAAATCAACCCAGAGAATAAAAACCTATGTACTCAGAAATGTGTGGAGTAGTTTGTTTTTTGTTTGCTTGTTTTGCTTTGTTTTTTCCCTGAAACAGGGTCTGGCTCTGTCATCGAGGCTGGAATCAAGTGGCGCGATCTCAGCTCACTGCAACCTCCGCCTCCCAGGCTCAAGCAATCCTCAAGCTACTCAGGAGGCTGGAGCATGAGAACTGCTTGAGCCTGGGAGGCAGAGGCTGCACTGAGCTGAGATTGTGCCACTGCACTCCAGCCTGAGCACAGAGTGAGACTCTGCCTCAATAAATTAAAAAATACACTGTTACATTTTTAAAAACCATAACTTCACCCAAGATAAATGACAACATTGCTACTGGCTCAAGTCTGGGATGATCTTGTATCCATTTTGCCCCTGTTCATATCAGAAAAGTTCCCGTAATTCTAAGGAAACTATATTCCATCAAAATATATGCCAAACAAACTTCTCTCCTAGTCAACCTATCTTCATGAATATGCAAACATCTGGATCCCCAGGTAAAATCACCTACACACAAACCCCAAATAAAAAGAAAACAGGATTTAGAAACAGAAAATACATATGTCCGTCATTCACACAAAAGATGAGACATTTTGTAAAAAATGTAGACTTCCAAGCTAAAAGTCTCATAATAACCAAGATTTTTTAAGTCCATATAGTTAAATATGTGACTTTAAGTTTTAAAGTATTGTTTTTAAATACAAAAACTATTGCCAAATGTTAATACAATGGAATGCAAGCTCTTATATCTTTTTAGTTTTAGTTTTAAAAATGCCTGCTATGCTCTTCTAAAGTAGACTCTCAAATAAAATGAGGAGCAAAATTGTCTATGAACACCTAATGGAACCTCTCTACCCACAGAACACCAGATTTTAAATCTATTTAATTACCAGTGGTGACCGCCTAACATTCCCGTAATCATTAAAGTTTCTGATGTTAAAATTACATTAGGCCTGAGGTATAATTAAAAATAATTACACTGCAGCAATTTCTAGGTTTAATCAACCAAGTACAACTGAAAATCACAATAGTGTTACCTCTCCAGCTTTGGATCATTACCTCATCAGGATTCTAAGCGGATCAGCCCTCAGGTGTGGATAAGTAACACCTGCCAGCTTAAACTAAGCCCAGGCCACCTGGCAAGCTGGATTAGAAATTATCAAGAGCAAGAACTAGAGGGGCTGTGAATACACAGCATAAGGCTGGACCTCCAGTCAACAGCACACACATCATGTGTTGTGTGAGAATCTAGAAATGTGGCTTTTTTACATAAGACAAAAGGGAAACCGACTTCTAGTAGTCTACAAATTTCTCATGGTTTCCAGGAACCCCGGAAGCAATGGTGTGGCATGAATCACTGAAGCTTGTGGCATTATCCATCTATCTTACAAAATTAGGAGTCTTCACTTTCTACAGCAGCTGCACTCCTCAAATTTCACAATAAACCACGGTTTTATACAAATTAAGATAGAAGTTGGATATTTTAACCATCTTATCAGAGCTCACTCTTAAACAAAAACTATGGGAAAGCTTTGGTTAAAGAAAAGACTGACACCACCTCAAATGTATGCTTCTTATAAACGTACATTTCAATGTGGGGTGGGTTTTGTTTTGTTTTCAATAAGGATACCGACGGAAATAGCCATGAAGTTGATAAGAAACGTGTAGGAGAGTGGAGAACATTTACGGAAGGTGGTGGATGCCAGGGGTCCATAAACTCTGTACCACGGGCTCCCCCTGAAAGAGCCACATCTCAGGTGGGGACAGGCCCAGCCACAACACAGGCTAGAGAAAGTGGAGATGTCTGAGATCCATAGGTGCGGTGAGAGTGAGAGAAGAGAAACCAGCAGTGGATGGTGGGATGACAGTTTCATGCACCAGACAGACACACCCTTAGACGAGGAGCAGCGCTGTCCTTGCCCATGTGGCTCCCTGTCTCTCCTGGGAACCAATACACAGGACAGCACCCACTCTATATTCCTCTTCATGGTCATCCTTAGAGGGGCCGAGGGCCCATGACATGGAGTCTAAGGGGCTGGAGATGCATCTCTCTCTCTTCCTCCCTCCCACTCAGGAAACCAAAAGGAAAGGGCATCCTTCTTCCCAGGGCAGGCTGCCCACCCTCCATCTCAACCCTCTCTGGCCTCCCACCTGCCTGGCTGCCCGTGGGCAAAGTCAGTGTCTAGGAACAGGCTCTGAAACCTTCCCAGCCAGAACGTGACAAAACCTATGAACAAAGCTAAATTAGACTCACCAAGATCAAGATGAATGCCAGGGACAAAGGAATTGAGGAAAAACATGAAGATAACAAATCCCAGCACCGTCAGGCATTTGGTGAGCAGAATCTTGTCGGATATCCTGTGCTGTAAGAGGGAAACCACAGCTGATTTACCCTGCACAGCCCTCTGACTCCTGCAGCACGTCACGACAAATTGCACCACGATGAGAAGTGTAACCTCCCAAACTTGAAAGAAAATGACAAAGTACTGTGTGACAAGGAAAATCAGACAGATTCAGGATCACTACATTCAAAATTGTTATGAAAGGTACACACAGCAGATGTCAAGTGCATACAGCCCTGTGATGAAGCGCCTGGCCCGCAGGTGTCAAGGGATGATGGGACGTTTCCACAGGGGCCTGTGGGGGCAGCACTGTCTTCAGTGTCCCTTTCCCTACCACGCCAAGCGTGCTAGCGGGGCAATGAGGCTGAGCCTTCTTGTAGAACTGTCACTCCCAGATAAGGCTCTGGCCGTGTTCTTCATGTAACATGCACGAAGCCCTTGGAATGCAGGGGGTGCGCTCTTATAACTGGGATGACACCCTCAGGAATCAGAGAGGGCAGGGGAGGGCAGGCTCTGAGGCACCTTACCCTCTGCAAGGCCTCCATAAACCTCGGAATCAGCAGGAGACAGGGCTCTCCCTATGAGGCCCCAAGGGTGCTGTGCTCCACAGGCCATAGCTGCATGGGGCTGGGCAGGGGAGTACACATAGAGGGGCACCTGGCTGGCCTGCCCTGTTGACTAACTGGCCATGTGAATCGCAGCCCACTGTGTGAAAGGACAACTCTGCAGGTCCTTTCCTTTTTTGGAGACAGTCTCGCTCTGTCACTCAGGCTGGAGTGCACTGGCACAGTCTCAGCTCACTGCAACCTCCGCCTCCTGGGCTCAGGTGAGCCTCCTACCTCAGCTGCCTGAGTAGCTAGGACTACAGGTGTACACCACCACACCCAGATGGTTTTTGTATGTTTAGTAGAAATAGGGTTTCACCATGTTGCCTAAGCTGGTCTTGAACTCCTGGGCTCAAGCAATGTGTCCAGCTCTGCCTCCCAAAGTTGGGATTACAGGTATGAGCCACTGTGCCTGGCAAGCACCGGGTCCCTTCTTGAGTGTAGTCCCACTAGCACACCTGTCTACCCAATTGTCTAATCAGTCTAAGTGGACAGATGTGGATGGCAGTGATGATGAATGTCTGCAGCTTCGTAGATATCGGTGGATCTAGATATCTATCATCACAGCAATTTCTAGCTGTCTGGATTTGAACAGATACAGACATACAGACACACAGAGGCAGAGCTACAGCTACAGAGAGATTTTTCTCTCTTGCTTCCTCTGGTCTCATAGGTAAAGCTGCAGCCATCAGAAATACATGCAAGCCTCTGTGTCGCAACAGCTGCAATAGAGCCCCTCCTCCGTGTGCAGCAGGGCCACCAGTGAGCATCTGCCCCTCCCTGCCCACTGCAAAGGCTCGTGGCTCACCAGCCTCCTCTCATCCTCCCCTTCAACCGTCTGGGGAAGGTCCATTTTCCTACATGATTCTGTGCTGAAGAATTAGGGCCAAAGGAGCGTGGCAGGAAAAAGACTGAAATGCTTTTTCAGAGGTGAGGGATGCGGGTTCTCACCAGGCGTGAGGAGGCACTGCAAGTCTTCCCGAGCCGCAGCAACTGCAGAAAGTGGCTATTGCCACAGGCAGTTCACAGGTCAGAGGTGGAAGAGCAGGCAGGCCAAAGAGCGTGCCAGCATCCTGCAGCTCATGGAAGTGGAAGCTTTTTGGGAGTGTCATTCAAATTTGCTCCTTCTGGATACCTGAGGTCATTTTTCTCTTTTTATTTAAATAGGTTCAGGGAGACAGGTGGTGTCTGGTTACACAGGTAAGTTCTTCACTGGTGATTTCTGAGACTTTGGTGCTCCCACAGCCTGAGCAGTGTACAGGGTACCCAATGTGTAGTCTTGTATCCCTTGCCCTACTCCCACCCTTCCCCCCAAGTCCCCAAGGCCTACTGTATTATTCTCATGCCTTTGCATTCTTGTAGCTCAGCACCCACTCATAAGTGAGAACATACAATATTTGGTTTTCCATTCCTGAGTTACTTCACTGGTCTCCAACTCCATCCAGGCTGCTGTGAATGCCATTATTTCATTCCTTTTTGTGGCTGAGTAGTATTCCATGGCATGCGTGTGTGTGTGTGTGTATATATATATACACACACACATATATGTGACTCCTGGATAAGGCATTTCTGTAAGAATTCTTAGCTGTGATAAAGGGATGCTGCCAAGCCTTGCCTGTCCACTTCATCTCACTGCAGTCCTTGTCCAGATGCACAGAGAGGCACACGATCCCTCTCCAACTCATGACTAAAACAGCACGGACTAGCAGGGCAGGCACGATCTGTATGAACCTGGGGTCCACAAGAGCATCACGGATACACCTTTCTTTTCTAACCCTGACCATCTACATGGGATGGAGTGAAAGCACTGAGGCCCCTCATCAGACTGCATTCAAAATCTTTATGGAAAACAAATACAATAGATGTGAGGTGCACTGCAGCCCTGTTAGGAGACACCTGACTCACGTGGAGATTGTGCCCATCACAATTAGAGCAGGTAATCAATCTCTCCCTAGAAAATAAACTGCATGGGTTTGAAATATCACTGAGATCCAAACGACTCCTAGCAGGTCTTGAGCAGAGCTCTCTCGACTGGGAAGGGGCCCTCTGTGTTCACAAATGGGCTGAGAAAGTCCACCCCCACAGAAGAATGAGCCAAAAACAAAAAACAAAACAAAACAAGCTCTGCCCTGAGAAGTCCAAGCTGTTGGCAGGACACTCACACATCCTATGTCTGTCCTAAAGCTGCTTCATTTCACGAAGCATGCCTTGCCCATCTCCCCTCTGCACAGTATGCACTGGGGCCTGCCCTTCAGGGCCAGGAGAGGGCTGGTGGTCAGGGACACCTGCTCAGGGGATGGCCCTGCAAGGTGCAGGGAAAGGGAAAGGTCCTGTGAAGATGCTTGCTTCCCACTTCCTGAGAAAATCAGACTGCTGTATCTGGAAACATTTTTCCCCATTCACTCATAGACATATGTCTTGTGTACAATCACAGAAATAAAAAGAGAAACAGCTTTCAGTCACGTGAGGGAAGGAAAACGCATCACTCACTCTCTTCTTGGAGAAGTGAATCAGAAATCCCTGAGAAAAGAAAGCTGGATACCTTTTTTTGTAGTTCCTGGATATTGGTCTCCCAATTTTTATCCTCCTGTGAGATCTGTCTAAAAGAGAAAAGAAGAGACTCATTACTTCCCTTGTGGGAATTCACTCAGGGTGGTAGCAAAAATATTAAGAAAAAATATTAGAGAAAGTTACAGAATACAGTCTGAAACCCTTTTGGAAGGCGTAAGGGTTTTTCTATAGTTCTTGGCTCAAGGCAGCCAGAGTCTCTTTGCAGGAGCCAGAAAGATTAGGGCTCAGATACAAAGGAATGTGAGTTTACCTAGCTATCTTGTTTACTCATGTGGTCTTAAAACCAACCTTTGAGCTGGATTGCCCTTGGGGGTTGGGGTCAACCAGGGATATTATCCTCTAATGGTATTTGCTTTAGGGCTCAGAACTTGTCCTTTGATCTTTAACCTCTAGTGATGTTGACTCAAGCCTTTGTCAATTAAACTTTACTAAATAAATGTGAGTCTTGCTGGCTGGGGAGGGTCAGTGGTCACAACTCTTTACAGCACTCTCCAGAGAGTCTGTGAACCGCCACAGACCCTCAGCCAGACTGGCAAAGCAAAATCTCTGTGTGTCAGTGTACTTTATTCATCCGTCACTGAGTCAGGGTCTGCAGGGCAGACCTCTGCAGGTGGTGACCCCAACATTCCCTGGTCACACCATATGGTGAGATCACAGAGCAGCCACCAGCACTTCACACCCAGACCCTGTCTGTGACACACAGCCTTGCGCGACTAGTCATGGGGGGCCCACAGGGCTTCATTTGTTGGCTGGAAAAGGTGCTTACTCTATAATTTCCCCCAAAAAATACATACAATGACCTGAATTATGAAAGAAGTGTGTGTGAGGAGGCGCTGTGCGACAGCTTGCACACAGGAAGCTTCATGAAAACCATGCACCAGAGCATGGACAAGGGCAGCAGCTGTCAGCCTCTTTATTCTCCTTTCTATGTACACTTCTCTGTTCCTGAATCTCTGTTTCCAAAATGAGGGCACTGCACCTGTACAACTATTACAATCAACTAAAGAAAAACATGGTGAAAGAAATGTCACTTGCTTTAATGTTGATTTTTATCAATCAATGATCAATTCAATGCCTGAAATAACAGGACTTTGGGACGCCGAGGCAGGAAGATCACTTGAGGCCAGCAGTTGTGGAAGATCGGCTTTGAAGGCCTTTCTGTCTGTGCCGCTCCTGCTGTTTTAGTCCCTTCCGTGGCTCCCACTTGCCTCTCCTTTTTCATGTTTCTGACTCAGCCCACCCCTCCTGGCTGATTTCCTCCCATATCAGTTAGGGAAAAGGGGCTGCACAATGGAGAACGCCATTTTAATGTCAAAGGAGGCTGACCACACAGCCAGTCTGAGCAGTCTGGGCAGTAAGGAATCACAGCAGACACAGTCGAATGATGCTGAGGACAATTTTTAAAAAGAAAACGTAGAGAACCTGCTTATGTATCTGAGTGCTCCTGTGGTGGGTGCGTATATATCTAGGACAGTTAGCTCTTCTTGTTGGATTGATCCTTTTACCATGATGTGGTGCCCTTCTTTGTCTCTTTTGATCTTTGTTGGTTTGAAGTCCGTTTTATCAGAGACTAGGATTGCAACCCCTGCTTTTTTTTGTTCTCCATTTGCTTGATAAATCTTACTCCATCATTTTATTTTGAGTCTATGTGTGTCTTTGTAAGTGAGATGGGTTTCCTGAATACAGCACAATAATGGGTCTTGATTTTTTATCCAGTTTGCCAGTCTGTGTCTTTTGATTGGGGCATTTAGGCCATTTACATTCAATGTTAACACTGTTATATGTGAATGTGATCCTGCCATTTTGTTACTGGCTGGTTTTCTTGCCCATTAGTTGACTCAGTTTCTTCACACCATTTTTGGTCTTTGCCATTTGGTGTGCTTTTGCAGTGGCTGGTACTTGTTCCTTTCCATGTTTAGAGTTTCTTTCAGGAGCTCTTGTAAGACAGGTCTGGTGGTGACAAAATCTCTCGGTAACTGCTTGTCCATAAAGGATTTTATTTCTCCTTCACTAAGGAAGCTTAAAAGTAATTTATAGATTCAATGCTATCCCCATCAAGCTACCAATGACCTTCTTCCAGAACTGGAAAAAAACACTTTAAACTTCATATGGAATCACAAGAGAGCCTGCATAGTCAAGACAATCCTAAGCAAAAAAAAAACAAAGCCGGAGGCATCACACTGCCGGACTTTAAAGTACACTACAAGGCTACAGTAATCAAAACAGCATGGTACTGGTACCAAAACAGAGACACAGACCAACGGAACAGAACAGAGGCCTTGGAAGTAACACCACACATCTACAACCATCTGATCTTGGACAAACCTGACAAAAACAAGCAATGGGGAAAGGACTCTATGTTTAATAAATGCTGCTGGGAAAACTGGCTAGCAATGTGCAGAAAGCAGAAACTGGACCCCTTCCTGTTACATTACACTAAAATTAACTCCAGATGGATTAAAGATTTAAACACAAAACCTAACGCTGTAAAAACCCTACAAGAAACCCTAGGCAAAACCACTGAGGTCATAGGCATAGGCAAGGACTTCATGACTAAAACACCAAAAACAATGACAACAAAAGCCAAGACAGACAAATGGGATCTAATTAAACTCCAGAGCTTCTGTATAGCAAAAGGAACAATCATTAGAATGATCCAACAACCAACAGAATGGGAAAAAAAATTTGCAATATACCCATCTGACAAAGGGCTAATATCCAGAATCTACAAAGAACTAAAACAGATTTACAAGAAAAATACAAACAAACCCATTCAAAAGTGGGCAAAGGATATGAACAGACACTTTTCAAAAGAAGACATATATGAGGCCAACAAACATATGAGAAAATGCTCATCATCACTGGTCATTAGAGAAATACAAATCAAAACCAGAACGAGGTATCATCTCATGCCAGTTAGAATGGCAATCATTAAAAAATCTGGAGACAACACATGCTGGAGAGGATGTGGAGAAAAAGGAACATTCTTACACTGTTGGTGGGAGTGTAAATTAGTTCAACCATTGTGGAAGACAGTGTGGCGATTCCTCAAGGACCTAGAAATAGAAATTAAATTTGACCCAGCAATCCCATTACTGGATATATACCCAAAGGACTATAAACTGTTCTATTATAAAGACACATGCACACATACGTTCACTGCAACCCTGTGTACAATAGCAAAGACCTGGAACCAACCCAAACGCCCATGAATGATAGACTAGACAAAGAAAATATGGTACATATACACCATGGAATACTATGCAGCCATAAAAAACGATGAGTTTCTGTCCTCTGTAGGGACTTGGATCAATGTGGAAACCATCATTCTCAGCAAACTGACACAAGAATAGAAAACCAAATACTGCATGTTCTCACTTATAGGTGGGTGCTGAACAATGAGAACATGTGGACTCAGGGAGAGAAGCTTCACACACTGGGGCCAGTGGTGAGGGGGCTAGGGGAGGGACAGCGGGGAGGGGGAAGTGGGGGAAGGATAACATGGGGAGAAATGCCAGATATAGATACGAAGGGGGAATAGAGGCAGCAAACCACCTGGTTATGTATGCACCTATGCAACAACCCTACATGACCTGCGCATGTACCCCAGAACCTAAAGTTAAATTATATATATATTATTATATATATAATATCAATATATATTTTATATATTATAAATAATATAATTATATTTTATATATATTATAAATAATACAATTATATTTTATAATTATTTTATATATATTATAAATAATACAATTATATTTTATAATTATATTTTATAATTATATTATATAAATTATATATATAATATATATATAATTATATATATTTATATTATATATATAATTTCAACCAATATTAAAATAAAAAAAAGAAAACATAAAAATAAGACCTGCAGAGCTAGACCTTGCCTTAGGACACCCTCATGGTAATCTGCTTCTCAGCAACTGTGTGGCCTCAGTAAGCCATGCCTCCCCAGGCCTCAGTTTCCCCATGTGTGACTAACACCAGATGAGCTGATGGGAACATGGTGAGTGTTGGGAACATGTTTCCTCCCACCTATAACCTGAGATGCACTGAATGTGTCTTTAACACCCAACACCAGGACAATTTATTCCATCTTTAACTTATGAAGCGTCTCCTTTAAGATCTGCTGCTGCCGAAGCTGGTCCTTCTTTTCCCAGCCTGCAACTGAGGGCCTTCCTGGGGCCGGAGGACACTGGTCCTGCTGCTCCAGCACAACTGGGCAAGGTGGGTCCTGGGCCGGGGATGGAGCCAATGCCACTTGTGCCAGCACTTCATCCCGGATTGTGTGGGACTCCACGCAACTTTCTGTGAATCCTTCCACTAATGGACCAGCCCTTGAGACACCCATGCAGGGTGACCCCTCAGGGCTCAGCGAACCGCAACATACAGTCTAGATTTTGCTCATAAGGGTTCGCATTTCCCCTCCCTAGACGGACATCTCCACCCACTCTCAGCTCAGCTGTGAGGACGCTTCAGCTTCAGCATCCCTTGAAGGGTCACCAGGCTCCTGCTTCTTGGGTCTGAGCTTCCAGAACAAAGACAGTTTGGAGCTCAGCACCACGTCACAGCAAGGAGAAAAATTGCCACTTCATGGTGACGCTTGAAGTCTCAGCTTCAATTAACAACTACCAGGAAACACATGGAGCGGGACTTCTGTATTCTTTCAGGTGCCTGAAAATCAACTACTGGGAGAGCATTTTGTCAGGTTAGTCTTTGCATGAATGGTTTTGGGTTTTGTCGTGCAACAGTCACGATGTGGAGAGACAGGACAGCCCAGGGGTGGAGAGCGTGAGTGCCATGCCCAGAGCAACTGCTTCCAAGGTGCACAACCCTGGGCACGCTGTTCAAATTCTCTGAGACTCTGCTTTTGTGTGTGACTTTTTTTTTTGTCCTTAAACTGAGCTGTGTACCCTCTGTAGAGTTCAGTGAGGGTTAAATAAAATGCACCACAAGAGGCTCAGCACAGTGTCCATCCCCTAAAAATCATGCATTCGCACGCAGCTAGTGTCGCCATTTTGTTGGGCCCTGTAATGTTCTGCTGCACGCCTGCCAAGAACAGTCTGAGCAGGACCCCGCCTGGTACCTGTGGAAGGTGCGCAGCCTCCGGGCGAGCAAGTGCTCCAGTGTCACCACCTTCCCCAGCAGCAGGCGGCGCACGGCAGTCTCCTCGCGGCTGGCCGGGCTGATGCGCTGAGCAGTCAGGCGCCAGACGTGAATCTCGTGCTTCAGTTCTGCAGAGAAAAGAAGGGAAGCTTGGGTCTCCCATGACCTCAGACATCAGCAGCACCCTGCTCTGCTCCCCACAACCCAATGACTGACAGAGGCACACACTCGAGACGTGCAGGTAGCCCAGGGTCACCCGGAGCAATGGCTTCTCAGCACCAAGCTATTGCCACGGAGCCAGATGACAAAGCGGACATTTTAAAATTATCAAAAAAGTGAAATAATGCAATTTCAACCCTTTCAGTGAGGAATAAATTCCTTTCTTAAACAAACATATCAAAGCTAGCACCCAATACCTTTTCCCCTTCTTGCAGGAAATATTTTGGATCTGCTTCCAGCCATTCTCTAGACATTGCCCAGTCTTTGAGGGGTTTCAGAAGCAGAACTAGTGAAAGGTGAATACACAACTGTAATTCTCAGGAGAAGGTGCTCAGGGCTCTCCAGTGGGGCATTTGGTAGGCGGCAGAAGGCAGGGAGGCGCCCTTCAACCAGGCCCCACTGAGCTGTCTCTGACACAAGCGAGAGAGAGAGGTAGACACGTAATAAAATGCTGAAATCTATAGAATTAGTGGAATTTTCACCCATCACTGAATTCAGACACCTTCTGATAGAGAAAAGTAGACAGAAATGATGTGTCGTTTCATTGCCTCTTAAGATACTAAAATATTTCATGAAAATTTATATTTAACCTCTATTTTGCTGTTAAAAGCATTACAAAGAATAGAAGAAAGCACAATATTTTCATCAAGCACCACTTATGTACATTGCACCACACTACATATCACAAGATTTAAAGATAGGATGAAAAGACACAGCCTTTCAGGCAAGGAATGGGGTACCTGAAGAGCAGCTCCGGGCAGATTCAAGGCACGGTGATCACCCAAAGACCAGGGAAGCTGCATGAACATCGTGGGTTCAGTAGAAAGGGAAAACACTACCTTTTAAGCCCCTTCTGTTCAGTACGCAAGTGCTGGTCCCCCACTGCGTGGCAGACCTACCCCAACAACAAAGATGAGTCAGGCAGTGGGAGGCAGCCTGTACACGAAGCCTGTGGAGACTCAGAGAGAATGGGCTGGGTCTGGGAGCGCCAGAACTATCTCAGCGAGCACAAGGCTTTCTCTAAAGTTTCAGCCCTACCAAGATGAAAACACTTTAGAACTAAGATACATAATATGTTTTCATTCAGTACATATGGATGCTTTGTGGCTTACTCAAATAAAAGGAACTTGGGTACAATTCAAAGGCCTCTTCGGAGAAACAGATCTATAATTCCCTCTTGAAAAGTCTCACACTTGATTAAACCACCTATAAGGCAATGATAACATAAAAAGAAAGGGGAAGAGGAAGTGATATGAACTCACTTTCTGAAACACTGAACACAGTAACACCATCTGTGGAAGGGCTCCAACCTAAGTTCAGACAAACCCAGTATTTCAGCCAGTGCTCTAAATCTTGTTATGTAAAAGACAGAACTAAAAGCCAGTCCATGAATTACCAGAGACTTTCCAGCCATTCTCTAAAGGCATATTGGTGAAGGGCCACTTTCTGAATCAGCTGGTCAGCTTTAAAGTGCCCACATCCGCATGGATGATCTCTAGTGCCAGCCCCTGGGTGCAGGCTGGAAGTCTCTCCATGCCTTTATGTTTGGAGAAGCAGAGCCTGGCAGCCAAGGCCATGTTGGCAGAGCTGGCCTTCCAGTCCTGTGTTCCCACTGCAGGTGCTCACTCTCCAGTGGCAGCCTCAGCCACCTTCACGCACACCCAGCACCTACCTGCCTTCTAACCCATCAAACCAAAAAGGATGTGCTGCTCTCCTCAGACCAACCCATGCATTGATACCCAGGTAATGCACTTTTGTATTCCTAGTTGTAGGATGTAATATACAAATTATGAAGGAATTTAGTTGGGAGGAATTTTGGCCAAGAGAAGGCTCACACCATTCACCTAGAACTCAGTTTATCAAAACGCGTTCCTCTGCACCTCCTCTGTCATTTCCCCACCCCGTCTACTCTGCTGAGGTCCAAGACCACAGACCCAGCCGCCTACTCACTACTTCCCTCTGAACTCTGTGCTGCAACCTCATAGCTAAACACTTTATCTTTCTCCCATAAAGTCTCTCTCCTACCCTCACCTTCTTAGTTTTTACATAATGCAGTTGTTCTTCTAGGCACACAAGACTGAAACATCATACTCATCTTGTCAATGTCAGTCTCTTTTATATTTCCGTATTAACATTATTATGTCACAGGTGTCAGATCTATGTTTGACGCTAAAGGATAAATTTTAATTGGTAAGTTACAAGATGGCCTTCCGAAACTGGAAAGAGATATAAGATGCATCATAAACAAACATATGCTAGGGCAGCGTGAACCTCAAGAGAAGCCCAGGACATGCTGGCACAGCTCTTGTCTGTTTCTTCCCGTCCCTGATTATCTGCTTGTCCAGGCCTTGCCCTATCACATTTCTTAATTTGTATTGTTCCTTAGTAAGCTTTAACTACAGTCACTTCCTACCAACCTGTCCCTGGATAATCATAAAACACAGCTTGTTCTATCATTCTATCTATCTATCTATCTATCTATCTATCTATCTATCTATCTATCTGTCTGGTCTGTCTTACGCCTGTAATCCTAGCACTTTGGGAGGCCAAGGCAAGCAGATCATCTGAGGTCAGGAGTTCAAGACCAGCCTGGCCAATACAGTGAAACCCCATCTCTACTGAAAATACAAAAATTTAGCTGCAGGCAGCTATTAATTTAAATAATAAAATCAAATAAATCTATCACCTTCCCAGATGATAGAAAGATGACTGATATTTATCTAGCTATCATCTTCCTGGATTTATCATTTCCTAGATTAGATGACAGATTATAGATAAATAGATGACTGACTGATTGATTGATAGACAGACAGACAGATAGATTACTTCTTTCAAATATCCAGTAGTTCCCCATGGCCTGCAGAATAAAGTTAGAGATATTAAAGATCTTCAGAGACAACTCTAATTCCCAAATGACCACCAGCACCAATGTGAGCTCTGATTCTACCATGTAAGTTTCAACTCTTTGTCTTTGCCACTCTCACCTCTTTGGTGAGACACTTACATGTCTATCAGCCTCTATCTTTCTGAGCTTCTCAACCAGCTTCTGATGGTATTACTTAGAGTGGCCACATACATGTTTTAAACAGGCAAAGAAAGTGCAGTGTGGGATGTGCTCTCACACAGGAGGTGATGGCTTCCAGAGAAGCCTAGAGTAGTGAGCTCAGAGCTAAGAATCTCAAGAGAAGAAGCCTAGGCCAGAAAGAGAGAAATGGAACTATACTAGTGTTAGGTTCTTCTCCTGTATGTTAGGTAGTATACTACCACTCAAAGTTAGTGGTATAGTCACTGAAATCACAAAACAGAATTAAAGTCCAAAAAACTCACAGCCAAAAGAGGAGAAAATATAGAATATTTTAAATACTCAATTAATTCAAAAGAAGGCATAAATGAAGAAAAGGGTAATAACAAAGCACAAATATAAAACAATAATATGATGTTACACTTAAATTGAATCACATCAACTAAGCTCATGACATTTAAATGGTCTAAGAGACAATTAGAGTAGATAAAAAAGCAAGATACAAACATACGCTGCTTACAAGAACTATACTTTAAAGACATAAATATGTTAAAAGTAAAAAGATGGAAAAAGATATACCACACTAACACTAGTCAAAAGAAAGATGAAACTGTTATATTAACAATAAAGTATATTTCAGAGCAAAGAATATTAACACGGATCACAAAGACTGTTTTTAAAACAATAAAGGACAATCCTAAATATTTATGTGCCCTAATAGTAAACTTTTAAAATGCATAAAGCAAATACAATTAAAGAGAAATAAACAAATCTATAATCACCCTTAGACATATCTGTATACATCTTTCAATAATTAATAAGTAGATAGAAAATCAGCAAGAATATAAATTACTTGAACAACATTATCGGCCAATCTGACCTAAGCCACCATAATTGACATAATTGGACATCCGACCCAACAAGAGCAGAATATATTGTAATTTCTAGTGCACACAGAATATTTATAAAGCTAGACCACATTCTGTAGCCATACAAGTCTCAATAAATAAAGGATTCAAGATTTATGAAATACAGTCTCTTACTATAGAAGAACTAAATTAGGTAACTGCAAAAACTGTCCCAAATACTTGGAAAGTAAATAAACCATCTAAATTATCCAAGGATCAAAGAAGAAATAAAAAGATGATTTATAAGGTAATTTGAACAGAATGAAAATGAAATATTTAATCAATTAGTGAGAGGTCACAGAAGATGCTCATAAAATCAATAACCTCAGCCTCCATTTTAAGAAAGTAGTGAAAGAAAAATAAGTCCAAAAGTAAGCAGAAAAAAATAAATACAAAGCAGAGTAGACATTACTAAAAGAGGAAAAAACTACAGAGAAAAATCTATTAAAAGCTGGTTCTTTGAGATCAATAACACTGACAAATCAGAGAGAGAGAGAGAGGACACAAACAAACTATCAATATCAAGAATGAGAAATATGACATTATCAAAAATTTAATAACTTTTAAGAGGATAATGAAAGAATATTATGAACAATTTTATAATAATACATTCAACCACTTAGATTAACTGGAAAAATTCCTTGAAAGACATAATCTACCAGGAGTCACTCGAGGAGAAAGATAACTTAAATAGCCATCCCTACATACATATTATGGAATTTAAATCTGTAGTTAAAAACCTTCCCACAAAAACATCTAGGCCTACAAATGTCAAATAAACATTTAAGGAATAAGTAATAGCAATTCTACAAAACTTCTTCTAAAAAACTGAAAATGAGAAAATATCTCCACATTCATCCTATGAGAACAAAAGAAGACATCACAAGAAGGGACTGCAATCAATGTCCCTAATGTACACAAACACAAAATGCTGTACACAGTATTAGCAAAAAGCAGCATGAGTTGAATATCTGCTGATCACAGGGATAGACTCTGGTGATTATCGTTCTTTTCACCATGTAAGTCACGTTCTCTCCCATTCTGAACACCTGACAGGCTGGCCCGTCCTGGTCCCTTGTGACTGGGTGGGGCCAGCCTGTGTCATTTGATGGCAGAGTGGGCCCATGCTATTCTCTCTGCCTCCAAAGCCAGCAGCTCAGGACTCTAAAGAGATGATGATCAGGACCCCTGCCAGTCCATGGGGAAGTACAGAGCCAACATGAGGAAGAAAACACAGTTTTGGAAGTTACTGAGATTTCAGTTACTTTTTCACTGCAACATAACCAAGCCTGTTCTGACAATGCTCTGTGGACCACCACAGATCTGCTAAACTCAGTTCTCTTGAGTGGGGCTTAGGAATCTGCAGTGTTACCAAGCACCCCAAATTTGGAGCGCTCTAGGCCCAACAGTGGCACAGAGCAATCACCCCACTCTGCACTGCTGGTCTTAGCACTGCCGTAGGGTTCCAGCCTCACCAGGTATGTCCACTCTCAACCATCCCTCCCCACTTCCCTCGAAGCTTTTCTCTGTTCCTTACTCAGGAATACTGAGGAATTGTGACACAGATTTTTTTATTTTCTATATATCTAAATCTGGGTATCCCAAATTCATCTCAAGCCTAAACTCTCCAGGACAGCTTACTAACAACACAGAATTCCTGGGGGTGACGCTAGAAATCTGCATATGCAACAATCATCCTGGGTCCCTCTGATCACCGGGAGGTTGGGAGAGGTGGGCGTAATAGGGCAGGATGACCGCTGAGCTCTCCACCAAGGCACAGCTGTGACACACAAGCTCGAGGAGAGGGACAGTTACCCACCACGATCACAGTCTCCTTCGTGCTCTCTTGGTTCTCACATTTTCATCAAAAAATGAAACCTATTTATTAATTCACATCTTACTCTACATATATTAGTTGATTATAAAACATTTTAAACACATCTAACTAGTTGTTAAGGGTTGAACTCTGTCACAAGCCTCAGGTAAGGTGACTAGATTTTCCCAAGAACACATTTGTTTTAACAGATGAATCTTGAGAAGGAATGCAAAACAATGTTTTCTTAATGAGATTTTTTTATTTCAAATCTCATTAAGTCATTCCTCAAATTCTGAATGACATGAAGGTCACACAGATCTGTCTTGGACTGTCATCATCGGGGGAACTAGGGTATGGCAGGACCATGTTTTGGCCTCCAGCCTTCTGTGAGGAAATGGATTGGGTTAACTCACCCAGAACAAAGACAAACTAAGGTCCAGTAAGACACAGGCCAGAGGAATCACAAAGGCTGACAGACATCAACATACAATCCGTGAGCCCTGAAAATCCCCGAAGAGCGACTTCATCTGCTGAGCCCTCCTCGCCTGAAGCCCCTGTTACCCAACCTACACAGCATCCACATTCTGGACCCCACTGAGGAAAGCCTGGCTGTTTCCCAAATAATCCATTGTTCCTAAAATATTCTATCTATTCAGTAACAATCTCAATAAGTAAAACATCTACTGAAGTGTTTAAGCGATGAAAATGGAATTGAGACGATGGCCCCAAGCCCTCGTCCTGTCCTGCTGGCTGGTGCTGTTTGTTTGTTTGTTTGTTTTTTGAGACTGTGCGTCACTCTATCGCCCAGGCTGGAGTGCAGTGGTGCAATCTCAGCTCACTGAAACCTCCACCTCCTGGGTTCAAGAGATTCTCCTGAGTAGCTGGGACTACAGGCATGAGCCACCACACCTGGCTAATTTCTGTATTTTTAGTAGAGACGAGGTTTCATGTCGGCCTGAACTGGAACTCCTGACTTCAGGTGATCCGCCCGCCTCAGCTTCTGAAAGTGCTGAGATGACAGGCATGAGCCACCACACCCAGCCCAGCATGTGCTCTTGGTTGACAGGGCATGTCACCTCCTGTGCTGGGTATGGTGCTGCATTTGCAGTCACATTTAACACTCAAGCTATGACACACTGTTAGACACTACAGTCTGTATGTTAGCACATTTGTACCATTCACGTGTGGCTTTAGGAGGTTACAACACTTAAGTTGTACATGGTGGCCATTACTTCCCACATTTACCCCAGTACACTTCACAGAAAACTGAAGAGGCACAGCTCGTGATAGCAGCCCTGAAAACAGTGTATACTAGCAGGCAGGCGTGGAGAGTCACTGATACTGAGCACGCAGCACCCATCAACAGATACTTCCTGATAAAAACTTCCCTGGCAAACAAACAATATTATGGTAATGAAATCTGAGCCTACATGAGGGGGCACTTGTACTCACCAACAATCTCACTGGGTTCCTTGTTATAAAGCTTTCGGTTCCAGTAAAGGAGCCTGAGGAGTGGAAAGGAGACCAGGAGAACAAGGCAAATCCCAACGAACATGTGTGCAGTGAATCCGGCAAAGTCGAGGCCCTGGAAATAGACAAGTGGGAATGAAACAGCAGACGGGCCTTTCCTCTGCACAGGCAGCAGCACCCTGAGTCAGGGTTCAGGGAGGGCCAGGGCCCAGGAGGGAAGGGACTCACCAGGAATTCCGGGACCTTAGAAAGAGGTCCTGGAGCCCAACAGAAAGCCCAAGGAAAACCATGGACTCCTCACCATGATTGTGAAAACTGTTAAGGTTTGTTTCTTTCATGTCAAGCACCAAACACCAGTTCTTGCACAAATGACAAGCCAGCTCAGGAGGAAATAAAAACACACTATCACGTCTAATTCAACCTTAGCTCGCCTTCACCACCAGACTGATGGCTTCCCCAAGACAGAGTGAAAAAAGACTGAATGGGACAAAATACTAAACTATATGATAACATTTGCCCATTTAAAGGTAAATTGAATTTTTAAACATTTCATTTAAATCTCTGCCATCAATTTGAAAAGCATCCTCATGGCTGGAGAGCACAGCCCTCTGCAGGGCACCCGGGGCCCACCAGGGCTGAGGCTGCTGAGAGCATGAGGAGCAGCCGCAGGGACCCAGACAGAAACCCTCTCCTTCCCCACACGCTTCCTTTGCCTGCCTAGGGCTCTGCACATGGCAGTCCACTGAGGGTATCTTCAGAGTTGGGCAAGGTCTCCATGAGGTTGGTCTGTCCTGCACTAAGTCAGCAGCAGCACTGGTTGCCTCTGTTCTTTCACTGACCACGTGCTTTGATACCTTTAGCATATCTGTGCAGGCACCTCCCGAGCCCCAGCAGGACAGTTGAGGCTACCGCCCCCACGAAGCTGGCCATCTGGCGAGAACTCAAGGTCTTTTGTATAGTGTTGATGGATCACAGGTGCCACAGAGTGGGTGAGAGGCACAGTGACAGTGCTCGACCATGGGGAGCAACAGGGGCAGGGTGGGAGGGATGACAGGCATCCAGCTCTGCCTTGGGAGCCTGGCGAACCTCTTACATGGGTAGAGAGGTGGCAAGTCACATGGAACAATAGTGAGGATCCCACAATGGGAGTTTGGAAAATCACCTTCCAAAGGACTGGGTTTGAGTGATTTAAATTACATTAATTGTTCCTTATCGAAGTTTACATATTTATCATCTCACTTTTAGAAAATATGTGAACTCATGTTCAACACTGTTAAAGATACAACACAACTAGAGGCCATCATCAATGAAGCTGTGTCAAAGTTTAGAGCTTGCGAATATACAATCATCTGAAACGCTTAATCCCTTGTAGTTACCTGTGCATCCAACGGTTATCCTTGAAAATAGCATTATAAATGACAGAAGGAGCTGTATAAGCTAATTCCTGGACAGACAGCAGGGAAACCACACAGAGGCAGGACTCATGGAATGCTTTGGATGATCATATATAAGAATTCACCACTTTTCTGACAGTTCTTCAATTACATTTAATTTTGTGTTTACCTCTAGAATTCACATTCATTCAGATATCTGAAAAAGGTCCATAACACTTTCAGGGGGTTAGGAAAATGTTTTCATTTCTTCTAAAACCAGAAGCAAAAAAAAATGAACTGGTGGGTCAGAGAAAATAATTTAAAATATGATACTAATATATGTACACACTAGCTGAGTCATGAAATACAACTGCTAATATTTTTTAGAGAAAATACCCAAGGAAGACAGAAGTACCTCTATCCTGAGTAATTCTTGGTCCCTTTGGAACATAATAACTATAAAGTTTTGCCCCATTTGAAATGTTGGGACAACTGGAGAGAGAAGTGATGAGTAGATGAAAGAAAAAAAAACTAAGGAGGTCCTGGGTGTGCATCCGCAGCAAAACAGCACAGCGCTGAGCGAAGCATGTGGGGGCTACTGGGCTTGTGATGACGGGGTGGGTTTGTCAAGTAAGAACGACGGTAATGAAAACTCCAAACTGATCGTTTCAGGAAACAGGCAGATGCCATGTGCAGTGCAATGCAGATGTTTGCGCTAAGCTGCCTAGGTGCAGGTAACCAGGCCCCCCTGCTGCTTTTATGTGTGTCTGTAATTTCCTAGACTCTTCTCCTTCGTGCTCCCAGTAACAAAACCACCCACCAGCACACACACATCAACTCAGCACCTAAATGCGCTCTTTCTGCTTCAAGGCGCTACTTCTGCTTTGTGTTGTTTTGTTATTGGCTCCAATCAGTCATTTTCTTCTTAATTTTCCCTGCTGTTCTCATTTGATGGATCAAATGGCCAAATATTAGGCATATAAAACAACCAACAGAGGAACCCCCCAATCAGATTAGAACATTCTCAGATTCATAAGCTACATATATTTAAGGGGATGCACCTGAGGGACTTCTGGCCCACCAATACCATTTTCTAGGAATGATGCTTTCAGGCTAGCTCTGACAAGTCAAAATGGTCCATTAGGTTGTAAGGGAGGGGCTCAAGCCAAAATGATTTCTTGAATTCTTCCATGTGAAAACTCAAAAGAAAAAAAAGGTCTTATGAAGTGTTTAGCTGAATCTATTGGATATTTTAGTAAAATATGCATGGTGTAATTTGAAAATATTCTGTCTAGACGCCCAGTGAGGAGAGGGCCCAGCACTGCAGGAATGGGTACGATGACAGGGAGGAGGGGGTGTGGGTCTCACTGTTTATAAGGGATCCATCAAGCATGGGCACAGGGGTCCTGGCACATATGGGGTAAAGAAAGAGCCTTTCGCAGAGACATGGAACCCAGCATGCTGAAAACAGAGCAAGCCACGGAGGGGATGAGCTCTGCTAGACAAGCTGACCTGGGCATTGAAAAGAGTAAAAAACAAAGACCCCTGAAGGCACACAAATCACAACAACAAAAAACACCTGCAAAGGAAATTAAGAGGGGACCAGAAAGACAGAGCAGGGTCCACTAGAGAGTGACACTAAGCTGTCACCCAATGGAGTGGGAGAAAAACAGTGGACGAGTAGCCAAACAACTTCACAGCACATGCAGCATGGCAGGAACACATGAAAAACACCGCATCATGCACAGCACAGTGGGAAAATGTGAAGAAGGTTCCAGCACACACAGCATGGTGGGAAAATGTGAAGAAGGTATGCACAGTCTGACACCCCAGCAAGGACCGCATGATGGGAAACCATGAAAAAACATCCCTGCACACACAGCATAGTGGGAAAACAGAAAGGACCTTGCAGCACGCATGGCACGGTGGGAAAACGTAAAGAAAGGCCCACCATGCACAGTATGGCAGGGAAAGCCTAAAGACCACTCCAGCATGCACGGCACGATGGGATACGTGAGAAACGCTCCAGCATGCACGGCATGGTGGGAAAATGGGAAGAACATCCCAGTAAGCCCAGCGCATGGCGTGGTGGGAAAAGTATAAAAAAACATCCAAGTGTACGAAGTGAGGCATGAAGGGTAAGCTGTCTTCTGAGAAAGATAGCACTCAGAAGTGTAGGAGCACGCTTCCCTCAAGAGACTTCTCAGGTATTATTTTAAAGATAGTTGAATAGTTTTGTTCACCACGGTGAGTCTCTGTAGAACAGGCAAAAAGGAACAAATGTAATCAGCAAAGAAAAATTTTATCCCATTAGCTCGTTAGGAGCCGAAGGTGCAGTGGGTTGGTGCACGCTGATGCTACAGTCAGGCAGACTCATGCTTACCCCAGGGAGGCTTACGGTTGGAGAATAAGTGGTTGTCCACATGTTGGATCCTGGAGATCCTTCCTCCCTACCTGTTGCTGGAAATACCAAAAGAGAGTCATCCCAAGAGACCTGGGAGAGGTCAGCCTGGTGCAGCAATGGTAGGTGGAAAGCGCTTTCCTCACAACTTCCGTCATTTCTGCGTAATGCTCAGAAAATGTGGACGACTGTTCAGATGTGACTTCTTTACTGTTTCAAACTCTAGTGCCGATTTATTATTCCTCTGAACTACATAAGTATTCATTTCTTTGTGATTTTGTTTTCATTAGTTTTAGGGGTACAAGTGGTTCTTGGTTACATGGATAAATTGTATATTGGTGAAGTCTGGGATTTTGGTGCACCCATCACCTGAGTAGTGTACATTGTACATAGTATATAGTTTTCCATCCGTCGCCCCCTCCCAACCTTCCCTCTTCCTAGGGTCCAATGTTCTCGTTACCAGTGCATGCCTTTGCTTATTCACAACTAAGCTCCCACTTCTAAGTGAGAACATGTGGTACTGCTTTTCCATTTCTGAGTTACTTCACTTAGAATAAGGGCCTCCAGTTCCATCCAAGTGCTGCAGAAGACACTATTCCATTATTTTTTATGACTGAGTATTCTATGGTGTGTGTGGGTGTGTATATACATATGTATATATATGAAGAAAATGTGAGACTATATATATGATGCCCATCAACAGATAATATATATATAATCTCACTCTATATATATATCTCATATATATAAAATCTCATTATATATGTATCTCATTATATATATATGACATTATATATATACAATAAGATTATATATATTCTCTATATATAATCTCACATATATAATCTCATATATAATATATATAAAATGAGATTATATATTCTCTATATATGAGACTATATATATTATATATACTCATATATATAACATTATATATATTCTCTATATATGAGACTATATATATTATATATACTTATTATATATATGACATTATATATATTCTCTATATATGAGATTATATATATTATATATATTACATATACTCATATGTATTATATTGTGTATACTGATATATATATCATATATATATCAATATATATGAGATCACATATATATATAATCTCATTATATATAATGATAAACCCCGATAGACCTTACCACCTCTTGCCCTCAGCCTATATACCACCTTCGTCAGCAAACTCTTTGAAGATTGTAAAGTAAGCACAAGTATTATGATAAAAACCTTAGGTCAAGGTGTAGTCAATGAAGTGGGAAGAAATGCGCTACATTTTCTAAATTAGAAAATTCTATGACAACCTTTATGAAATCTAAAGACCTAAG